CACAGAGTCCAGAACATCCAAAGCTTGTTGAACTTGAAGGTTGTTGGGATGTTGTTCTTTGAAGATGGTTTGGACTTCATTCCACTTGGTGAGAGTCTCCTTGATGACAGGTGACTTCAGTGCCAATTTTTCATCATCACCAAAAGGCAATCTGAAAAATTCAGAAATAATTAAAGAGTGTAAAACAAGTCATTGCATGAAGAACAATTTAAAAACACTGAAAAGGCCTCCTTACTTTTTTGTGGTGCCATCAAATCATTAATATTTCTTTGAACCTCATCTTTTTCAGATGCCATTTCCCTCAGCTCTTCCATTCCCAAGTCTTGAGTGAACTTGTCATACTAAAGACTTGGGAATGGAAGAGCTGAGGTAAATGGCAGCTGAAAAAGATGAGGTTCAGCTGCCACTTTTGAGCTGGAAAAAAAGTGGCCGCCACTTTGGCGGCTGTGACAGCGGCAGCTGTGATGGCGGCTGTCGATGAAAATGGCGGAATTGCCTTAGATGACCTGGAGGCAACCCTTCTTAGAGAAAATGCCAAGTTGATTTCAAGAATTCTGAGGGGGAAACTGGGCCACACAAAAAAAAAAGCTGCAGGAAGGGTGCCTCATCTGTTGAGTGTATAGCAAAACTCTGCCAGGGTAAATTTTGCAAAAAATTGAAAAAAATTGTCAAACTGTGCTGATTTTTTTTTGTGCCAAAGAATATGGTTGCCCTAAAGAATAATTTTTTTCCAGCTCAATTAGACGTCATCTTCATTTTCATTCCAAGAACTTTTGTTAGAACCCTCATACTCCCTTGGTTAACGTTTTTTTCAGCTTATGTTTTTTCCCCCTGCACCAACTAAAAATGTTAACTGAGTTTGGGAACGTTGACTGAGGGAATTTTTGGGAAGCATCGGGAACGTTAACTGAAAAAACGTTAACCAAACAGAACGTTAACTGGGGGTTGACTGTATTCAACAAAAGATAGGGAATTCACATTTGAGGCCTTTTTAAATCCTACATGGTTGGAGCTGTAGGAATCCAGAAAAAAATGCCGCACAGTTGTTATCATAACTTTAGTGAGTTCTTGAATAGGTTAATAATACCCCATTCTGGATCTAACTTTTGTATTCTGTGGTCTGCATAGCAATGCACCAGAATTGGCATATCAGAACATTGCAACAGTATCTGGCAATGGGTCATTCACATGTTCTGGTTAACTTTCTGTTCATTTACATTCATGCATGGCCAGTCACCTGTCCTGCACATCTGGAATCTATAAAGGAGTGTCCAAACACTCCTTTGGCACTCATTGCTGGTTTGGACTGTATGTTGCATGCACCAAAATATATACATATTGGTTAATCAGAGAAGTAGACTCTCTTGCTTTACTGTGGCCATAAAGATTAATACTTCTTGACAAAAGTTATTCTCACAAGTAATCATTGGATTAGATTAAAAGGGTTATTAAGCAAAGAAGACATTTGACGCGTAATTTCAAGATTCTATTTAATTCCAACAGTTTGGGATAACACAGTAAATATTTATTTCAGCCTGCAGGTAGAGATAAAACAATGAATTGGGATTATTCAAACCTCATCAGCCTTATTATTGCTAGGTTTAGGTTTTTCATTGTATTCTTGTGCAAAAAATGCGGTAAAATATATGGACTCTGCTGGGGAAGGGTTAAAAAAAATCACGAATTAAATCAGGGATATACCGTCCTAAAACAGCATGTATACCAAATAGATACAAATCTTTTGAAGGATTGGCAAATGGTACTGTATTATGTTTACTTCCTGAAAGTTTTCTCTCGAATTCCGTCAAGAAATGTTTGCGTTTCCCTCCATCAAGTGAACAGTTTTCCAGAAAGGACAACAGTTGACATATATTTGACTCATTGCTCTCGAAGACTGAAGTGGACTATATTTATGAATTCCGAGAAATTTCGGATCAGTCGAAGTGAATACAAGTGCAATCCTGCGCTTCATGCATGATTTATTCTGCAAAGTCATCGTCAGAGGAGTTAAGCAAGTCACTGTGTCAGAATTTACACACGTCTGTTCGATTTATGAATTTCTAGGGTAAAATAATACACCTACACTATATCGAATCGTCGATGGATTTGGTTCTATAAATAATTATAGGGCTGGTTTCATAAATTCTGAACCCTAATGTTTTTCAAGCCCTTTAAATTTGTAATCCCCCAGATAGACAGGGAAATAGCGCGTATGATCAGAATCGAGCAGTTTTCCATAGAAATTCATTTTTTTCGATCTGATATTTTGCAAAAACTATAATTCATTCCCATGACATTTGTGGAGATTTTAAAGTTCAACTTTCGCGACGTTGTGCAGAATGCTTGTATTTCCTACGTCGATTTTTGAAAATATGGCATTAGAAAGTTATTTTAAAAAACTCAACTGCTTCAGTTTTCAGAGAAAAAACTGCGAGTCAAGGATGTGAATGCGATAGAAATTTGCAGACGAATTATTCCCGTGATCACTGATGACTTCAGTTCGTCAGAATGACTTCCTTGTTTTCTAAAGATAAAAACACAATGATTTAAAAAAAAGTACCGTAGCAGGAAAAGGAAAGTACTGACGTGAGAATAGAAAGACATAAGATTGAGCACGAAGCCAACAGGAAGCGGATTCCTGCGGCCTGTTAGAAGTTTCGTATAAAACTTCAAGGTTGATTAATAATCTCAAACCAGCAGACGTGAATCCGAAGATACGTTACGTAATTTTAATTTAAGATGTAAATGCGGGAAAATAATTCAACAGAACATGGGCCAATTTTGTCTACACCCATAAAAAAAAGAAACCGAAGTTTTGGCGCATGCGCAAGCGATTCTGGGGGAGTAAATCGCAATTGGCATTTTCTCTGCTTCGGATTTCATAAAAAAAAAAGGACGCTCAAAAAATTCACGAGCATGTTTTGAATTCCTTCTCGGTTGTATCACATTCTTGCTGAATACCTTTATTGAGTTAATCAGCCAAAATTCTTCAAATATGATATTCTTTAAATTCTGAAATGGCGAAGCTTTTGCAAGAAAGGTGCTAATATTTAGCATGAATAAGAGCAAAGCAACCTCGTTTCTTGATTTTCGTTTTTTATCGTAATTTCATAATAAAATACTGTACTATTATATGATAATTCAAGTGAAAATATTTTTTATCAACTCAATTCTTTTCAAGTTTTCAATCAAGCGTTCGCGGAAAATGCAATTCGAGAATATTTTAAATTTCACACATAAAAGTCGACGCATTCTCGCAGCAACGACAATCATGGATTTTGAATTAAAAAATTTTCTAAATTTTGCCTTTGAATTCTATTTCAATTGCAGTATTTTATATTTTCTCCGTGACCGTGGATTAAACAAAAAGCTGCTGGTCGACTGTCAATTCACGAGGATATTTTAATGAATTTTAATTCGCACTATAAAAAGGAATATTTATTCTACCATGATGAACGATATTCAAATCAGCAAGACTTTTCGCAATTGCATATTTCCCACTCGAACTGCATCTAATTCATTTTGGCAGCATTTCTGACGGAACGATCCTTGATATTGATTCCTTTTAGCATTCCTGCTCCGAAAAAATGACCGCTCTAAAAAGTTTCTAAAAATGTTGTCAAAAGAAATACTGTTTTCCTAATTCTGCAATGAACGATCCAAGCGATCTTCCCTTTTCTAAAAATTTCGCATCGCCATCTCGGCTTATTTCCTTTTCATCCAATATCGTGTGAAAAAGGAATCCCGAGCGCCAATTCCCACCTACTTTCGAGGCGCAATTTCTTTTTTAGCTTCCTTTTCGCTTCGTGGAATAGAAAAAAATACACAAATAACATTTCTTTTCTTCTAAATAAAAGGTTAAAAAAGAGAGAAAAGAAGAAAAGCTTCCCGCCGCCGATCGTTGCTTGCTTATCTGCCTGTGAGAGATCGCTGGCGACCCCATTCGAAACCAGCTCGTCCTTCTGGTCGGGTGATGGTACAAATGCACGCACGGGTTGCGCAGGACAACCAGTGTTGCCAACGAGACTGTGATTCACGCGAACAATGTTACTTCGCAGCAGTGGATTGGATTTAGTGCGCCGAATGTATATTAATGGAGTGACCTTCGTTCATGTTCCAAGACACATTCAATTCTTATTCGGCGAGTGAACATATTCATTATTGGATTGCGAAACTTTCAGTCCTTTTCCTTCGCATCAGTGATGATGTTGACATTTATAGTGTAGTAGGAAAACTGATGTTTATTTTCCGTGGACTCGGTTAATGAACTTCCGTCAGGGACGTCTAATGAAAAACTGTTGTGTGGTTTATACATGCATGCAAATCTTCACTTATTTGATTGAACATGAATTATTCCCTTGAGAAGCCAGTGTTGAAAAATCCATTGGGCTGATAACTTTTCATTACCTAGAAGTTGTAGAATGTATGAATGAGTTTTTTGCTTCAAAAAAAGACATTCAATGAATGAATGAACAGAAAAAGCTTTATTTTCTGCTTTTCAGCATTCACAAGGTTCAATCAACAACCGCATATTTGTTCGCGTGTTCTCAAAGGAATGCTTCTGCCTCCATTTGCCCCGAGGCAGGATCTACGGGTTAATAAGGGACACTTGGCAATCTGTGTTGGAAGAGCAATGCCCCCCCCCCCTCCCCATGCAACCCAAATCCATTCAAATGCATTCAATCACTTCAGAATGGGAAACCGAGAGAAAAGCTGCATATGGATACCAAAATAAAAGAAAATAAATTCCACAATGTACAACTGCACAACTGATGTGTATGTGTACATACCACCTTCTTTCCCTCACATTGAAAAGAAAATATCAGTAACAAGAATTCCAGCATACGCCAGAATTATAGCAATTGCAGCAGTTAATTATTGGGCACAAAAGGCCTCAACATAATTTGATGCCAAGTGCTATTGAGATTAGAATAAGAATAAAAACATGTTATTCTGTCCGGGACAGGACCAGGATTCTGTTTTGGAATTCCTACGTTAAAGGGATAAACTGTATTTCACACAAGTACAAATAAACAACTCAATGAGCTCAACTTGCCAGGAGTAATGGGAATAACTTGAATAACATAGTTGAACTGAATCTGATTGACTTATGGAAAAGGAGCAGCTTATATATGACCATTAATAATTAACCTTCACAAGGTTTTAATTTAGAATCAGAGTAGGACAAGTTATTGTCAAGGATTCTGCAGTGCCAGGATGTTCATGGTACCAAAAGTTTGAGGAAGGGGGAATACTTTTACTTCCAGGAATTATTTTAGAGTAGTTAATGTACATGGCCTGCATGCCAACATTAATGCACCCAGTTTAAAGCACATGGTCTTCAAAAGACATTCAAATTAGTGAAGTGAAGGTATCTAGAATAAATTGACTGTTGCAGATGTTGTTGAAATCTGTCTCCACAAATTCATTGATACATATCTGCGTAATTACATATTCATAACATTGACCAAAACATTATTCAAAGTAATAGACAACTTATATTAAATTTTCAACTCCGTTAGTATAAAGGCATACTGGCAGCGGTTTAATTTTCCAAAATTTTATATTTATATTTTTTTTGAACGACAGCTGTCACTTTTCATGAATCTAACATCCCAAAGCCTTCTTCAGCATTAATAACAAAACCAGAAACAAGTTAAAGACCTAATTTGAAAAATTAATAATGCGAGACGTGGATGACGTCGTTTTCGCCTATGTTTTCACCCAACAAAAATGGTTGGTAAGGCTACATATTTAAGAAAGTTGCTCCAAGAAGCTGTCAAGCATCATATTCAACGCAGAAACCATCAAATCCTGATACAATTTTCTTCTCCAATACAATGCACCTCAGTCAAGAAATGTTTCATACAGCGATTAAATTGAAATGATGACGTATTATTTGTTATATTAATTTAATTATAGGAAAAATTAGTTCTCTGACATAAGTTAACGCCAGGGTGTTTTTAAAGCTTCTTTTACGAAGTTTGCTCCGTATAATAGGACCATGTAAATGTTTAAAATCATAGCTGGCGAGATTCATGCAATTTTAACTGAAACAACGGCTGTCAGGTTGTCATTACGCGAGCAACTTTTTGTCAATGAAAATTTTGTCATGCGGAATTCGTCATTTCATTTATTTCTTCTTCGGGGACCCATTCTACAGTTCACCACAGTCATCAATTGACTTTTTTCAGCCTATAGACAAAATTTTTTCTGGATCACAGCCGACAAAAACGATTGAAATTTGAGCTACCTGAGCTATGAAGCAACATTTTGTGGCAAACAACTATAATGGCATGCAAATTCATCACCTTGACCCAAACATTTCAGAGAGACTCTAAAGAAGGAGTGGTACTCGATACTGCGAGAAAATAACGAGTAATTGTAGGAGTCGTCGTTACTTCAAACGTCAGCTCATTTTGCAGAGATCAAAATTGAGAGAATAGCTGTGCCATTCCTTCGGATATCTTGCTCAATAATCATCTGTTCGGCTTGTTTTTTTTTGCGAAAATTTAATTGATAATACTGTACATCATCTGATTCACAACGATATTCAACGGAAAAATTGAGCATTTACGTATTCAATTTTCTGGGACATTTCGCCCATTTGAAAAAAAAATATTTTAAATGACTCGTGCTCATAAACTTGATCGCCTTCAAAACAACATAAAATTTAAACAACTCATGTGAAACATGAGAACTGGGAACAAGTTACGTAACCACCAGCATCATCATCATCACGGAAGCTGTCAATGACGCTTTGTTTTTAAAATAAAAATAAAAAAGGCGCGTTGGGGGGGAGGGGGGGGGGGCATTGCTCTTCCAACACAGATTGCCAAGTGTCCCTTATTAACCCGTAGATCCTGCCTCGGGGCAAATGGAGGCAGAAGCATTCCTTTGAGAACACGCGAACAAATATGCGGTCCCCAGGCTGTGACCAGCAGGAAACTGGTAATTTTGCCAAATAGCATCCTGGTAGGAATCATGGCTGCAAGAGGGCATTTATATATATAGTTACGTAACCAGTATATAGCAGTACATTGGGGCCCCGAGATGCGGACGTAACTGTTGACTGGTGCGTTGCTTTTGTCGCTATGTTCGAGCGTCCTTATACGTGTCAAATTAGGGTACGCTTTCCTGTAGAATTCAATGGGAACATATTTTCAATGGATTCTCCTGTTCATTGAAAATTAGAAATAAAGTCCCCCAAAATTGAAAACCAATTTTTTCTCAATTTCAATATGATACTGTATGTAGAAAATAACTGTTCAGCAGAGAAACACACAGAATCTGATCTTTTGGGATGAAAAAAAATTACGATGACCCGAAAAATTGTTATGACCAAAATTCGAGTTACATACAGATTCTAATGACAAAAATTGACCATGTTTACTAAAAGGAGCTGAAGAAGCAAACAAGAACAAGTTTAGCTATACGCTGTGCACAGATGATGAAAAAATTCTTGATAAAAAAGTACAAAATTAGCCTTCTTTGATTGAGAATATAGAGTAATCTTATAATCAAATTTACAGTATTTTTAATATTTGTGAATAGTGTAAAAGAATAGCTCAATTTGTTTCAGAGATATCGAATTTTTTATGATATTTTTTATTTTTCTAGAAATGGCGGAAGAGTGTCCATGACTTGAAATATTGTCCAGATGTCAGGGTAGATTTTCCTTTCATAAAGTGTCCCTAAGTCGAATCGATATTTTGATATGTCAGGACTCAGGGGTGTCCGTGCGTCGGGGTCCCAACAAAATTATGGCATGATGACCATCCATTTAGTTTAGGTTGGGACTTTGAAACAATTTTGTTACAATAAAAATTCATTACAACGGAATTTGAGGCTCATGCGCATTTTCCTCATATTGGATCATTTCGGTACAACTGACTAAATTTATAAATGATCGATAAATATATTGTACACATATGCACTGTAGTCAAGAGCACTGAAAGTTGTATCTAGAATGTGTCATATTGTTTTCTTAGGATTAAAAAAAGTATTTTTGAATCCTTTTTGAAGATTTTTTTTCTGCAGCAGTTTATAAAAATAACTTTTATTTGTGTTTCCACTCGAGCAAGTCGACGAATCTCCAGCATACTTTTGTGACAGAACGGGTCTCATTGGCACAAATCGCATCTAAAAATTCAAATTATTCAAATTAATTCAAATTAGAATACGCTCGTACATTCACATTGAGTACATCAGTGTAATAATGCAGTACGTGACGTTTGCATAACAGTGCAGCATACACTCTATCTTAAATCTCCCATTCCGAGATTCATGACCGTGTTTACGCAGATATTATCTCAACTCATGGTTCAAGAACAAAATGGCAAACCAATTACTCTATAATCACATGCAAATTCAGCAGTACCTTGACCCAAACTTCTCAGATGCTAAAAAACAGGAGTGGTGCTTCAATACAGCAAGAAAATAACGCGTAAATTGTGGAGTCATTATTTCAAATGTCAGCGGAATTCAAAATCGAGCGTGTACTTTTTTTCAAGGATATTTTTGCTAAAAATTCATCATCTGTTGAGCTTGTTTTGAAAAAAAAGGTTGATAAAGTAGCATTTAATGCACAACGATTTTCAAACGAAATATTGAAGTACCCACCAGCAGTAAATTGCATGTGATTTCAGAATATTGCAAGACTTGAATGTTTTTTCTCTGAGGTTCATTCTCAGGACAAATTTACGCAATATGACTTTTTGCCAAAAATTTGATCATTGTTACTTACAGCGCATTTAACCACAAAGCTATTGTGAATTGCATTGAAAAAATCGAGAATTTTAGCATAAAAACTAAATTTCTGATTCGTGTTTGGCTGAATTGAACACTTCTTTGGCTTCTCCAAACAGGACACAAATGGTTCCTCCTGGTGTAACAAATAGCCTGAAGGCGAAGATACTTCCAGGTATGCATTGTTTTTCTCTCAATAATTACTGTCTAGATATTTCAAAAGAAAAAGAATACAAATTCATATTCCCGCGTGTTGAACTGTCTCCCGTTTTTTTTCATAATTGCTCGAATGATGAAATAGAATTGATAAATCGCTCGTTTCCCAAGAAAAAAGGGAACAGTTTATTTGATCCGAAGGTTTTTCAGACAGAACGATATTCTCTGTCGAAGTTCTGTTTAGAAAATAAATTGATTTTCAACTCAACTGACTTTTAATATTTTCACACCAATTTAAATTAGAAAGCAGGTTTATGGAGATGGTTCCTTTATTCCGACACCTTTCTCTATTGTTTTTTTTTTTTAAGCCTACTCATTGTGGAGCAGAAATCATGCAACTACATCACCATTAATTGCTTATAATTACGATGAAAAGTTCTGAATTTAAATCCTAATTTCTATTTTTTTTTACCTCATTTTTGCCTTTGTCCGTAATTATTTGCTCAGCGTTGAGTCATGCAGGCATGTTTCAATCTTGAAGTTGGCAAAGAATAATGATTTGCATTCCCCATTCAGAACATCGTGGAATTATAAGCTCACATCCAAAAAGTGAACGTATGAAATTATGATTGAAAATGGAACCATTAGCCCATCTGATCACTTAAAATTATAAACTGACAGCAACTCTGCCAGGAAAGTTCTTCAAGCTATTCATTGTTTCAAATGATACTGTATTTTAAGTTTTAGAGAATATCCCACGAGATGGGTCATTTCAGTGGTCATGTTTGTTTGGTTCCTGATGGGTCTTCGAGCCATAAAATTTGCATTTCCCTTCATCTCGAGAACATCATGAAATTGTAAGCTCAAAATTCGAAAAGTTCAGGTAGAAAAACATTATTACAAAATAAAAAGCCCATCTGATCACTGAAAGGTGCACATTGACCTTCAAATTTCTGTCAAAAATATGTATTTAGACTATCCCTGGTTTCAACTCGTATCTCAATTTTTTGTTTTTAGAGATCCCCACGAGATGGGTCATCGCGGGGGTCACGTTTGTCGGGTTCATCTTCAACCTGGGTCTCCGAACCTCGATAAACATTGCCCTGGTGGCCATGGTCAACTTTACTGCAGTACCACAGAAACACGACCATCACGACAACGACAGTCACAGTGGAAACTCGTCTGTCTTGGAAAAATGTTACATTCCTGAGAAAACGATCAACAATGTGTCGATAGGCGACACATTGAGCATATCCGGGAATGTGACTTCGAGGCTCAGTGGACCGTCGTCATCCGGAGAGGTATTTATTTTTATTTTTTTAGTTTCTAAATTTTTTCTGATGTTCTTTTCAAACTTCTGAATATGCTTGGAAAATCGAATGCCGGTTTGTTAATACTGGTTGACTCTCTTTACAACAATCTACAGTGAGACCCCCAGATGCAAACATAATTGGTGCATCAAGAGTATCCCTAAGTTGAATTGTCCTCAAGTCAAGTCTCGTTTTCCCACAGACTTACATTATATAATTTTTGATTGGTGTTTTATGGAAGAAATATTCTCTAGAATTCCATGAAAATTTTTTTTGCCATTTATATTGGCACAAGTGGCCAAAATATAATTTGATGTCAAGTGTTTTAGTAAACAAAATAAAACAAGTAAATCAGTCCAGGACTGGACCGGGATTCCTATTGGAATTCCTACATTAATGGAGTAAATTGTATTTTTGATAAATACACAAATAAACAACTTCACAAGCTTGGGCTTGTAACAAGAATAACTTGATTAATGCACAGCTGAACTGAATCTGAGAGAGAAAATAGAATTGGAGCAGCTTATATACTAGCCATTATAATTAACCTTCATAAGGTTTTATCATGCAAAACAGGATAGGAGAAATTATTGTCAAAGACGCCGCGGTGCCAGGATGATCCTGGCACTGCATTTTTGAGGAGGGGGAATGTCTTTTGACTTCCAAGAATTTGAGTATTTTACTGTACCCGGCGTGCATGCCCAACAACTTGAATTTGATTCAATCAAGGTCTTTTCAACCCAATAAGAACATTTGGAGCATTGAACAGTATACTGCTGTAAATTTCATGGAAATGTTGGCATCTGTAAAAATAACATCCAAGTCACAAAAGGAGAAGGAAGTCCCTCTGTGCTCTTGGTATTTTTTTAATCAGCTGAATGGATGGGAAAGTGATGGGAAAAAAAAGAATTTTTCTTACATAGATCTTAGGGTTAGAAATATCTGTTTCTTCCAATTAAGCCTAATAAAAGTCAATTTTCCTAAAATGTATTGGCAATTTTATCATGCCATGTCCTCATGTTGAGTCAGTGTCCATATGTTCAGCCTTTTTATGATTTTTTCATTGAAAAATAAGTGTCCCTATGTCAAATTGTCCCCATGTCAAGGTGTCCGTATGTGGGGGGGGGGTCTTACTGTAGTCTACAATGATTTGCTCTAAAACAGGAATTAATTTTTTGTATCGCAGGTTACGTTATACCCCCGTTTTTAGGGGTTCTCCGCAAGGAAATGCGCTCTATGACAATTTTTTTCTGGCCCCTTGAATATTGTTGTAGAAAGCGTCCACCTGCAGTTATTTTAGAAAAATCGAAAAAAAATTTCAAAGCTGACGCACTAGCTTAACATTTATTCGTAGGAAATTGAAGTAATCTTGATGAGGTTTCGGGAATTCTCAGCAAGTTTCGAAGACAAGAAAAGGCCAAACTATATCATTCTTTTCTTGATTGATTTGAGAGATTTCTTAGTTGCAGCTCGAAACAAGCTAAAATTTATAAACTTTCTGGCTAAAAAACGTGGTCGCGTGGGAAAATGTCCATGTGTTCAGCCTGCAATTTATCTTGAATTTCGAAGTTTCAGCTGGAAACTGGCTAGCATTTCTGAGTTTTTTTGTCAAAAAAATTTGGTCACGAGAAACATATTTTGTAAAGCGAGATATTCATTGTATACATTTAAAGTGAATAAATGAGTGAATTGTTAGTTTCCCAAAAGTGAGGATTGGAATTGAATAATGCATTTTGCGTAAAATAAAAAAGATTGCTCTAAAAATTGGTTCAGATTGAGGATTTCAACTCCGTATATAATTCGGATAATGAAAAATTTTAATCTAGAAGTGCTGGTGATTCCATAAATAAACGATTCAAAACGGAACTTCGCAGAGAATATAGTTCTCTTTGAAAAAAATCTTTTGATCAATTAAACTGTTCCCTTTTTTCTTGGGGAACGAGCTCTTTATCAATCCCGCAGCTTATCTTTTGAAATAATCTCGAGTAATCATGACACACGTAATGATTCCAAATTATATGTGCTGAAGATCAAGACGACAGCTCTATATATCAGCAAAAGATTCCGTTAATTCATAAAAATACAGGTTCACAAATTCCCCTTGAATTTATTTTCCAATGTGGTTTAAAAAAAATTCAAACCGGAAAGCGTTCAGGCATGAAAAATAGTACAAGGAAGCACTTATTATTGTAACTTCCGTTTACGACGAAAGATTATAAAAATCGATGAGAACGATTGTGAACTTTCAAGGAGAACTGCTATATTTATGAAGACAGCTTTATCACGTTCTTCCGCCCATTCAAAAGAACATTTTATTTTTAAGATCATTACAGTACTTCAGTAATGTCAATTGCTGCTGTTAAATCCGTTCGTGCAATAAGCAATCAGCAGTGAAAAGAAAAAAATACATACGATACTGTCCATTTTTTCTTTGTACAGACAACAAAAAATGCATTTCAACATCAAAAAATTTTAAATTTAACTGAGTACGGAATGAACACAGGTGCCTGAAATCAATTGAAATTTTGGTCAACGATTGCAATTAAAATTGTCAAAATTTTAATTTGCTACAGAACATCATGAATAAATAAATTTTAAAGTGGTTCAACACATGTTACGAGTATTTGCTCCGTTTTTATTTGCGTCAATCTGAGCTGAGTGACTTCAAGGGCATGCTAGTTCTGATCCATTGTTTCGAATCCGGAGATTTACCGTTGATACTGTTGAACTTGATACACTACCAGGAATCATATTTCAAAAGAAGATATGATGGGATGCAACGCACTGTCGTGGCAAATATAGCTGTCAAGCACGTTCTGAGATGTAAATATTCTTTTATCGATTGCTGACATGATTACCCAAACATAAATCAACCCAGGAATTAAATCTGTCGAACTGTCGTTGCATAATCCAGGAATTCTTCTTGAATGATTCAAAAATAATTTATTGAAGATTCAGTTATGATCAGTCACTGATGAATTTAAATTCTCAGTTTGGCCATCAATCGTCGATCGATACATTATTTGAAAAATATCCCGGCATTTTTTGAACATTGGGAGTACAGAGTAAAGCTCAATTATTACAGCAAATATCTCAGTAATAATTCATTCAGTTTCATTTCCTCTCCATATAAGTGTTGCCAATTGCACTTAAACTATATTCCTTATAATTCGCATTATAATACTCTTGATCACTATGGAATCCTGAAGAGAGCTTCGTTCGCAAATTATGCATGCCGTTAATTGTTTCGAAGTGTTCGAATATCCATCGTAATTTTCTCCGCGACAAAAAAATAAAAAAGAAATCGTGGAGGCTTCTGTCCAAATCAATCATGGCATTTTAATATGCTCACAGAAGTGTGATCTTTTTTGTTCACGATGACACTTCACGTTTATTTCGAAAGACAGTAGCGATACGTGGGTCTGAGTCATATTCCATTTGTTTGCTTCTTCCCGCTTGTCACGCGAATGGCAGGAAAAATTGATTGTATTTACTTGAATTATGCATTTTTAAACTTTTAAGATTGAATTTTAAAATTGACACAGTATCTCATTCTGCGTCGCGTTCACTGTGACGCAGATTTCTTCAATGACACGATTTTGATACTGAAACAAGCTCCCTATACTGACGCATTTACAATCAGAGCCTCTGACTTGAAAATACTGTGTACAGCAGTGAGACCCCCACATATGGACACCTTGACATGGGGACAATTTGACATAAGGACACTTATTTTTAAATGAAAAAATCATGAAAAGGCCCAACACATGGACACTGACTTAACATAAGGACATGGCATGATAAAATTGCCAATACATTTTTAGGAAGATTGACTTTTATTAGGCTTAATTGCAAGAAACAGATATTTCCAACCCTAAGATCTATGTAAGAAAAATTCTTTGGTACTTTTCCCATCACTTTCCCATCCATTCAGCTGATTTAAAAGAATTACCAATAGCACAGAGGGACTTCCTTGTCCTTTTGTGACTTGGATGTTACTTATACAGATGCTAACTTGAAAATATACAGTGAGACCCCCACATGCAGACAGTTGGAAATATGGACATTTATTTTTAAATGAAAAAATCATAAATAAGGCCCAACAGAGGGCCACTGACTCAACATGAGGACATTGCATGATAAAATTGCCAATACATTTTAGGAAAATTGACTTTCATTAGGCTTAATTGCAAGAAACAGATATTTCAAACGCTAAGATATATGCAAGAAAAATTTGTTGGTACTTTTCCCATCACTTTCCCATCCATCCAGCTAATTAAAAAAAATTACCTATAGCATGGAGGGACTTCATTCTCTCTTTGTGACTAGGATGTTATTTTTACAGATGCCAAAATTTCAATGAACTGTACAGTGTATTGTATTGTATTCAATGCTCCAAATGTTCTTATTGGGTTGAAAAGATATTCACTTCATCAAATTCAAGTGGCAAAAAAAAATTTCCATGGAATTCTGAAGAATATTTCTTCCATAAAACATCAATCAAAAATTATATAATGTAAGTCTATGGGAAAACAAGACTCAACTTAAGGACAATTCAACTTAGGGACACTCTTGATGCACCAATTATGTCCACATCTGGGGGTCTCATTGTACATGAAAAGATCTGTATTAAAAGTGGCTGAAATTCATTTACAGAAATTTGTGTTCTGTATCTGTTCCCTGCGTTCCTTTTCTGAAATACAATATAAAAGAAAAATCTCCTGCTGATGCAAAATGTTTGCTGCACAAGTATTCTGTTATGAACGGACAAGCGCAATTCAAGGTTCTTCATGCTTTCTTTCCCGCCATTCATTATGATCCCGATAAATAAATGCGACCTTGAGAAATATTCCGCTTTGACGATAATACTGGGATAAGCTGGTCCCTGCTGTGCTGATGTTTCAACGAGACACGAGCTCGGTCAATATTAAAGTGGTGCAGTTATTGACTCTTCTTTTTTTTCCGGCGAACCTTTCGTACCCGATCACGCATATGCAGGGTTCGTTCGTCTGGGACGAAACGGCACAAGGAGCCATTCTGGGCAGCTTCTATTGGGGCTACGTGTTCACGCAGCTGTTGGGTGGGCGACTGTCGGAACGCTTCGGCCCGAAGCGGGTGCTGATGGGCAGTCTGGTCAGCGCCACGGTCGTCACCCTGCTGATACCCAGCGTGGCACACTTGGGCGTCGGCTGGGTCATCGCCTTCCGCATCCTGCAGGGCATCTGCGAGGTCAGCGCCCGTATATATACGTCACGTACTGCGACCAGATTTCCGAATGATACTTTAAAGCCGATGACGAAATAACGACATGAAGTACCTTCTTCATTCGAGTGCAACGCGGATTTTCTTTTCTTGAAATTAAGAGGGTTCCATCATCGGCAGGAATACAATTTTCAAACTTTTTTTCTAAGTTTCGGTGTGTGCCATATACGTTACACGCATACTACACTCGATTACAAAATGGGAAATTTCGAACCAATTTGCATAAGAATATTTTAAAAATAGAAGCCATTGAAAATAATTGGATTCAGGTTCAAAAATTGCGATTCTCGTTCGTCGCATTTCTAAAATAATGAAATTTTCAGTCACTAAAAATGGGGGTGTGTAGATCTTACTTGAGGATATAGGTTTATCAACATTTTAGGATTGAAAATTCTTGAATAATGCAACTTTCCAGTTTCTAAAAATGGTGCTCATGTCTTAATTAGGAATATGATGTCTTCAAAATTTTTATTTTGATGGGCAAATTGTAATATAAAATCGTGAGCAATTTTTATCATTCTCAAAAATATTTGAATTGAATACATAAATGTAAAAATAACTTAATCCAGGTTAAAATGGTCCAAATAATAATTCTGGTATGCATTATTTTTTAAACGATGCAATTTTTCAAAATGGCGTGCATGTCTTATTTATGATTTTATCAATGTTTTATGGTGAAAAATCTAGGTGCAAGTCTTACTTCAGCGCAAGTGGTACTCTATTAATAATATGGTAGCTCATAGACACAGTAATTTCCGCTACAATTAAAAATACTGAGCAATTCAGCCAATTGAGAGAAACTTGGTTCTAAAAACAGTTCAGTGTTTCTGAATGATTTTATGAGAGGGAGGCGGAAAAGAGCTGGATTTTGCAAAACTCAGTTAGTTTGTTGAACTGCAATATCACTGTGATCATTTGTTGAAGATTCGAATATCCCAGAAGAAATTAGCAATGTTTTGGCAAAGTCAAAAGGCTACTAAAATCCCATGCAGCTTGAATGATCGTTGACAGAAGTGATTAGTGCCAGTTTGGTTAGATACTCGTACGTTATCTCCCAGCCGCCATGTCAGAGATAAATAGAGGGACGACAAAAAAATAATACTGAAGAAATAGTCACTATATCTGCAACTATTCAGAAAATATTCCAGAATCGTTTAAAGTTTTTGCTGAAATTTAAAACGTATAGAAGACATTCGTATTGTTGAAGGGTCAGAAAAATCCTAACTTTCTTATAATCATCCAGATGCTTTTTGAAAATTGGTTCAGTTTCTGAATGAAGCAGAAATGTATATAATTTTTGATGGGATAATTTTTCCTTTGGAATAAAAAAAATGTTTTAAGAAAATCCATGACGACCAGGTTTAAATCTTTACCCCACAGTAAAATTGATGACACAGAACTTTTGAGAGAACCCACTTCAATGCAATTTATTTGCCATCAGGGACCAACATTCCCAACCATGAATGTGATCATCTCCCGCTGGGCTGTGGCGAATGAAAGAAGCATGATGGTCAGCGTGATCTACACAGGTGGGCTTTTTTCTTAAACCTTTTATTCGATGCATTCTGTAATCAGAAAAATATATGTACGTAGTCGTATGTGAATTACTTGCAGAATACATGACCGAAAATTTGCCTAGGCAATGAGGATACCAAAGGAAAAAATCATATGCACAGGTAAACACTATACAACGAAGTTCGGGATTATAAAAAAATTCGTTGCGGAGGGAATTCCATTTAGAAAACCCAAATAATTAACATGGGGAGAGGATCCTTCGGGATCACAGAACCAAATTCGTTATACTGAGAAATTATTTTTAGACAAGATCGTTGTCAGGCGAGTTCAGCTGTATATTTTTTTACTGTACTTTGTTTACGGCAATGAACATGTTGCCAGCAGAACAATAACGACGGGTTGCGTACCATAATTATTCAAGTACCGTGAGTACCAGAAGCATACCCGTGGGCATCTCAATTTATAGGCTGAAAATTTAGCAAAATAAGTTTCCCCCAATACATATACAGCATATAATGCGCATCCAAATTTTCAGAGAGTTTTGGATGTCAAAATTTCAGGAATTGAAGAGATTAAATTTTTAATTTAATCTAAAATAATATAGGTAAATTTTATTTCATTTTCAATTGTACTTTTTCATATTTTACTGCATCTGAAATGTTATGGGCGTTGAATCGACTATGACATGCACCGACATTTTGGAAGTTCCTCAGGAAAAATGCATACCCCATTGTAAGCAATAATGGAACCCAATTTTTGGGGGAAAGTATGCATGGTACTAGAGTAGTACAGTGATAAGAAGTTACAGGTCAATAAAATCTAACACTAAAGCAGCTTGAATTGCTCTTGAATAATTCTCAATTTCAATACAGTAACATCAACAGCTAAAGAGGGGAATGCCCAGCAAGAACACAGTAAAGTAGTAAATCCACAAGAATGCAATTCACAACAGTTCCTCCAAGTACTTATGCTCCAGATATGAATATCAGAAAAAAGGTTGGCGATTTAATAGGCTGCAGAATAAACAGTCCATTTTCAAAATCCTAACCAAGGCGCCATCTGGCGGAGTTACGCCTTGATTTCGGTAACCTGCTTTCAGCGTGACATTGTCAAATTCGGGAGGCTTCCCTACTGAAGGTCACAAAAAAACCGCCGAGCCGGGTCAGGCTTTATTTCTAGGCCATGCGCAAACAAAAATAAATGAATAAACATACGGATATCATGTTTTTATTATTCCAGGCGGCCCAGCTGGAACCATGCTCACTTTGTACATTGGAGGCCTGATCATCCCTTTGCTGGGATATCAAGCCATCTTCTACCTTACAGGCGTGGGTTGCCTCTTTTGGGCACTGGCTCACTGGTTCCTCGTTTACGACAGCCCAGCTGAACACCCACGGATAACCGAGAAGGAACTAGCCATGTACCCGAAGTCAGCCATTTGCAATAAAGTAAGTTTCGTAAACAATCCATTATTTTAGTACATTATATATACGCGGTGCATTAAGAAGAGAGTCTTATACTTATTCATCGACATCGAAATGTAAAAAAAATTCCAGTGATGGGTTTCTTGGACGAAAAAAAAAAGACTATGTAACACAAATTTTGAGCAACAAATATGTTCCTGAACAAAAATTCTCATCAAATATTTATTTTTTCACGTTACGTATTTGTCAAAAAAAAATTTGCAAGCTTTGAGAGCAAAGTTTCTTTCGCCGGGAGTGGACAATATTGTAGAAAATTATATCAGCTTCTTTCTTTAAAAGACGGCTGTGAAAACTGTGCCATGGAGGAAAATTCTCACATCAACAGGGGTGTGGTCTGTGATCGTCTGCACGTTTTCCAAGGGCTGGGCAATGTCAATTTCTTTCATGATCCCGATCTACTTGAAGGCCGTCCTGGGTTTCGACTTGAAATCGGTGAATATTACTCATCTGGTCATCATATAATAAGAAAAGGAACAAAACCAAGTTTTTATTCACGCGCAAAATCACGCTCTCGAAATTTTGGCCAAATTAACCACAATTTTTTTCTTTCCGTTCTTCGTCGTGGGAAATAGAGCGGAACTTTTTCTGCGATTCCGTACATCGGACGACTCGTGTTTCCCTTGATATTCAGTTTCTTTGTCGATTGGATTTTGCGACATGATTGGTTCTCTCGGACAACCGTCAGAAAAATGGCTTCATGCCTTGGTGAGTTCACGATTCTTTTTTCTCTTATATTGACTCAGATATCACATCACACTTGTAGGCGAAATCTCCATGAACATTGAATATCGATCACTTTGATTCTTCCACCGTAAACCGTGTGAATTTTCTCAGTAGAATTCCCATAACGTTGAAGATATTTCTGAATATTGAGTGAGAATCTGAGAACGTAGGCGGAAGGAAATGCCAGAAATAGCCTGCACATAATCGTATAGGATGAGGATTTTTGCCCACTATGTGGATCTCGGAAAACTATACAGACTATTCAGACTACATTATATACATTACCCTATACGACAAAAAATTCGAAGGAAATCTGGAGAAGATCCAGATTAAATTCATCGATGTGAATTTCGGAATTCATGTATCCATTCTCGAGTCTCGACTAAAACGGACGTACCTAAGAAAATTATTCCTACTCTAACAAACGTGGGAAGTAGGGCGTGATTGCGCGAACAAAATCCGGGAATTGGTTTTTCAATTTTCGTACTTTAAAAAAAACGTAATGTTTCAAAACCCAGACTGAAACGCAATGAAGGTACAAAAAATCAAGTTAGTAATAAAAATACGAAGACTCGGGGAATCACTCAAGCCTTTTTGCTTGTACTGTGTACATGACTTTACTTGTTGAACGGTTTCAAGCTTTAACCTCTATAGTTAACATTTGAGTTTTGATGAATCTATTACATTGATGGAGATGAAGTACTGTACATCGGAGCATCTCCCATCAATCCTTCAGTAAATTACAGAATTATAGCCTTTATGAGAATACAGTTTGATAAGAGTGCAGCGATGCCATCTACATCTGATTGGTGAATTCTCAAAAGACAACAGTGCAATAGTGCATCTATTATAATAAATAACGGTAATCATTATTATTATACAAGCTCAAGATGACCAGCAAATAGTTCGACATACCGCTCAATGATTGGAAAATAATAATTAAAGAATGAGCAGAATCACGAAGTTACTCAAAATCCAAATGCTTCTTACTTACTCCTTATTATTTTTAGAAGCTCCATTTATTGCGGAATGGTCCATTTCCTAAAGGTAGTCAAGCATTCATGATTGCATTACTTGCCTGACATTCGATGCAACTTCCAAGATACAGTAAACACTCATTTTCCTCATCCATTTGCAGAGGAAAAGCAAATGATATTTTTCTCGGCGTACTATAATGGATTTGAACATATTTAAAAAATACAGGAAGAAGATAAATGTCCTTCGCGTGATTCAAAAAAATTCATGCAAAGTTTTTCTTGAATTGTCCAAAATGTTCGTAGCATGCATCACAAGTGAGTCGGACGTGCATCTATCAATCCTGATTTAAGAATCTAGAATGATGATACCTAGATTGAAACCTTCCGTACATATATTACTCATGCGTAAATAAGGCTGTTATCCGAGGATACCCAAGTACAGGTGGATTCCATCTATACAAGTACTTTATTTTGTCTACAACGACCTTATCCGTATAAGGAACATTTTTTTCGGTCTTCGAGTTCTCGTTTCCAATGCTATAGAGGTTCTCTGCAACAAAGTTTGTTTCTGGTCCATCGAATTTCGTTGTAAACGAGAGTCCGCATGCATAATGTTAGAATTAATTTAAAAAATTAAGTTGTCCTAGATGAATACAAATTCATGCAAAATAAATAGAAAAAAGAGTAAGAAACAATGACGGATTTGAATAACAAACTAGACAGTCTTCATCCAAAACTGTTAGCAGCCACATTTGAGGGTGACATTCATACGTATCGATTTCTCCGGCGCAGGGAACCGAAGTACAGTAAAGTACAATACGGTGCAGCACCTACAAAAAATGCGGTAATCATTCCTGAACATGTTTTAAATAAGAGACTGACATTTGCAGACGTATTCGGGAACGCGATATGCTTCTTTCTTCTATCCTTCGCCGGATGCGACTACGTCGCAGCAATCGTGGCTCTCACGGTCGGCTCGATGCTTGGAGGAGCAGCTTATTCCGGTTATAACGCTTGCGTGATGGAAATGAGCCCCACCTACACAGGTTCGTTTCCCTTCGAAATGTATTCGTCCACTCACTGCTCACTACGAAGTTCTCTTGGTTTTTTCATTTCTCTTTTATTTTTCTCATGGCGTTTCTTTTAATAAAATTACAGGCACGGTTGGTGGTTTGTCTGCAATGGGATTCTCAGTGGGAAGTTTCTTGTCGCCCATGGTGGCTGGCATGCTTCTTCAAGGCAGGGTATGTCTCAGAAATAAGAAGGGTTGCGTTAAGTATGCAACAAAATTTGAATAAGTGGACTGCTTCCTCAGTTTTTCACACGTGGGGTTTCAGCTAACAAACCATTCCTGAGAAGTGTTCATTGGGAAACCGTCACTATCCCCGCGCGACGAAAGCCCGGGACACGAAAGCCCCGCGCGACAATAGCCCTAAGAGTGAAGCTGCTCTGGCTGGCTGGCTGGCTTCTGCTAGCTGGCGGCCATTACGGTCGAGGACGCGAGAGCGCGCCAAGAAGAGAATGGTGTGCGCGCGGCGACATAGATGTCGCCGGCGCTTACTGTTTAATCAAACACTGATGAGCCGCCGCCAATTGTTCGCAAGCTTTGTGGCGGTTCGGCAGGGATGGCGGTTTGAAGGGGTGGTTGCTGGTTTATCAAGAAAAAATGTCAAAATCGAGAACAAAAGGAGATAAAATTATCACTCTTCTATAAAACAATTGAAATAACCCTGCGATGCATAAATTATATCTATCTAATGCTCCAAGAAGTAAATTATGCCAGCATGGTGTTCCTGCTTATTTTTTTCAATTGGAGACCACACAGAAACTTGAATCTTGCTGGCGGGCAATTTAGGACAAAATTAAACGACAGGAGCCTACTTGAATCGTTAATAATGTTGCGTGAAAAACATTTTATTTCAATGACACTGTATCCATTTCTATGGAGACTGCCTTCGAAGAAATAAAAAAGGACAAAATGTACTGTTGTTAGGAACAAAATGGTTGCAAAATATATATAAAATGATAACGTAATGAAAAATAAATAAAATTAAGGACACAGTTTCAAAAAAATTATGAACTCTAAGCTTTTCAAACCTAAAATTTTGTTAACCCGGGCGTTTGTCAACTAAGATCGCACTGGAATAGCTCGAGAAGGCTTTCGGGATTTAGAAAAAGGATATTGTCTGCATCATTTCATCAGTTCAATCCTCTAACGGATAAGTGATTATGGTCAATATCCTATCGAAAGATTTCAAAGAATCTATGACGTCAATAAAAAATATTTGGATGATCAGCTCCGTCAGAAATCCGTCAGAAATAATTAATTCGAACATCGAAGCATTTGATTGAAAATCCCACTAAATCCAAAGCATAAGAATTTAAAATGAAACCTTACGTTATCTCAAATGAATCTGACGTTCACAAATTCTTGCGTAAAAGTTCACAGTTCAGTCAATTCTGACATTAATCTCCATCAGGACTAAAATTAACGAGATGAAATCCTTTCCATATTGGCATATGATTGTCAATACATTGTACTGGAGGTGACAAATTTCAATCCGTTCGTAATACTTGCTACGACTCTGATCACAGTACTTCCCAGAAAACAAAACTTTCTCACGGAATATCTCGCGTTTTCAACCAAACTCTCGATTAATTTAACAATTGAGCAACAATTGATTGCGTATTATTCAGAAACGATTCGGCGAAATGTACTAGACTGCAATCCATTTTTCTTGAACAACACGGGTTGAAAAACTCGCATAATTCAAGGAAAAAGCAAAAATCAATTCTTTCGACGTCTTTCGTGTCATTCTACACACAGCAAAACCTCACGCAGTGGGCAATAGTTTACCAGCAAGCAGGAGCGATATTCATCGTGGGCGGCATCTTCTTCATCATCTTCGGAACTGCAGAGAGATTGACTTTCGATCCCCAACCTGAACCCGAACAAGACCCCAAAAAATCCGTTACTCAAGCCACACTCGTGATTGATGCTAGGGAAGAGGAGAAAACACAAGCAAATCAGACAGCAGGACATGTCAACGAAGCATTCAGCAACTACAGGGAAGAGGAAGTGGGTAAGGTGAAGTAATCGTGTGGATTTTGAGAAAAACTTCATGTTTTGTACATCTGTGATTTCTCACGAATGCTCATTAGTTCATGGAATATCGATATAAAAAGACAGCAATGCATTTGATTACTGTGGATTTTCGGAGACTCCGATTTTGTGCTTGTGTCGGTCAACCTTCTATTGTAGATTGCCCTACTCAACCGTACATGCTTCGTGGTTACTTGATTCTGGTTCAGGCGATGATCAGCCATCTTGGTTGTGTGTGAGTAATTTCGAAGAACTCAAAATTACAGTAATATACATGTTATCTTAGAATGAACTCAAAATTACAGAAGCATTACATGTAATCTTGAAAGTTGAGTACGAGGGAGAGCAAAAAGCATTCATGATTTAGCATCTTGGCTCACTACGCCAGACGCTTTCTAAACAAGTACTTTCCCTCTGCGTGAAATAAAACTCACAATTATCTGGACTTCAATCAACAAGGTATTCGATTCAAACAATGCCACAATTTCGGAATCATTGCGATAGAAAACAATTTCTGAAGGTATTCCGTCTGATATACACTTCGAAATTGGCAGTGATGTCTGCAATTCAAATGATCCATGAATAATTTACTTCAGGTTGGCATGATTACTCTACTCAATACGCACATCTTCTGTTTGGCTGAAAATGGGTTGTATGCAAATTAATGACCCTGTGCATTGTTCAGGAAAAGTCACCATGCACTTGTAATTCCGCACGTTCAAATGATAAAACAAGCAGGAGCTATAATTCATTTCTTTTACCCATGAAGATAAGGGATAGTTTCAACATTTCTATAGATTTCAATGGCAATTACAGTGAGATCCCCATATGCGGACAATTCAACATAGCAACTTTTATTTTCCCATAAAAAAATAAGAAAAAAAGGCCCAACATGAGGACACTGACTCAACATAGGGACATTTTGTCATAAAATTAATACATCTCAGGCAAATTTACAAGATACAGATATTTACAACCCCAAAATTGATGTAAGAACAGTTCTTGGACATTTCTCTCCCCAATTCACCATCCATTTCACAAATTTTAAAAAATTACCTCCAGCATGGAGGGACTTCCTTTTCTCTTTTTCACTTGAATGTTATTTTTACAGAAAATGCCAACATTTTTATGTACTATACAGAGGTAATTTATCAGTATTAAAATCCCCAAATGTCCAAATTGTGTTGGAATATACTGATTTAATCAGTTTAAATTGGGAGACAATTTTTATTTTAATGGAATTATGGTGAGTATTTTGTACACAGAACACCAATTAGAAATTATTTAATGTAAGTCTAATGGAAAATGAGACTCACCTTAGGAACACTCTTGATGCACCAATTATGTCCGCATCTCGGGGTCTCACGGTACAATAAATTGTCAAGTTCAAAACTAATGATCCAAAATAAACAAAAGTTGGACACCAGACAACTTGAGCTTCCATCAAAACAAGTCCACCTGGTCTCCAAAGATTTTGCATATGAGTTTCCTGTAGAGAATCTGCACACGGCCCGCTTGTGGTTCACGCAGATCCTTCACCGTGATTCTTTCTTCAGGCAACAGAAAGTTAAGGTCCGCGACCAGGTCTGGGATTTTAAATTTACACCTGAGCGAAGGCACACTCATACCAAAAATAGCTCTCTTTCTCTCTATCCTGCAAATCACAAAATGAAGTCCTTGTGTTAGCAAAGTAATCAATAAAAGTTATTTCAACCAAGGGAGGAAAGTGAACAGAAACTTGCACTGACACTTCTGTCGGATGCCAGAGAATTTCCTGCGCTGAGTTGCTGGACCCTTTGCCTGCACAAACGGTAATGGGGGCCATTTCACTACACAAATACCATCTGTAAACTTGAGAAGTAGGTGTTGCCGTATTTTACTTTGTAAGTAAGACCCGCACATGCAGACACCTTGACCTGCAGACATCAATTAAACATGGGGACACTTATATCATAAAAAGGCACTGAATGAGGGCACTGACTCAACATGGGGACATTTTTTTTTAAATTGCGAACACATTTCAGGCCAAACTACTGTACAAGAAAGATATTTCTAACCCTAAAATTCATGTGAGAAAAGTTCTTGGGCATTTCTCTCACCAATTTATGTTTGGTGTCTTAGAGATCTATTGGAACTTGCTGCGCAATTCAAAAGTCTGCCACTAGAGGGTGCTCTCTCACATGAGCATAATTTCCCTTGGAAGATTAATTCTGGGAGGTTCCCCCATTTCCCTTGGCTATAAAAGTCAGACATTTACCAAAAGGCTGTATTATATTTCACCATATACAGTTAAAAATTTGGAAGATTTCTTGATGGATCATTTCTTGAGAAGGTATGGCTCTGATTTTTTTTAAACCTGAAAGACAAAGGCTTGGGATGAGAATGCAGGTACAATACTTCCTCCTAAACGTAATTTTTGGAATGGAATAAACCCATTTCAATTTTTTCCAGAAAGGCATCACAGTATATACAAAAAACATATGCTAATGCAGGCCACTGTTGAAGGCAAACTGAAATCCCCTGGGCAATCCCAATAACACGCATGTATTTTCAATTTCACGATTCATAATTCATCCAAGTGACACTTGAGAAATGTACGGTATTTTAACTGCTGATTTGTTTGACAAAATTCAACATTTAATACGGAATGAAATTCACGGCTAGGTCACTTCAGCTCCACAATTACACAAGAAAGCCACTCTCCATAATGCAAATTAGAGAAAACTCTCCTATATTACATAACTCGTTCTCAGAGCAAATATCCAGACAAACACACCAAGAACAAATATTTTTCCCAACAAAAATCACCTACAATGAGTGTCGAATGAAATCACTCTACATGATCAGGCCACGCCATTTCGAGGGCTTCGTTGCACTTATCCAAAATCTCTTCTCTCGTCAACCTATGGGACTTCACATGATTGACCTCATTGAAAAAAAAACCGTTGGAATCCAATTCGCCGTTACCACTCCGTACGAGTCCTCATCTCGAACCTGTGAACATCAAAAATGTGGTAAATATCTTTCCAACTCTCGTGTGATTTCGTGGATTCATGTTGCCCGTAAGGTTTATCCCACTCGTCACCGACCATCGAAGATCTAAAGAAAGTTCAGGAATATACGGACAAATCCACCAGCAGTCGAAGACACGGCAGTTCATGATATAGGACACAATGGCCAGAATGAAGGTACTGATGGTCCAACTTCAACAAGCCATGAAGCAAAGGAGGCAACCACCAATTGCCTGCGTCCAAAACTCGAATGATACACTAGACTCACCACCCATTCCATTCCTTCCTTCTCGAGTCTTCCTTCCGGTGTTTGTCACATTCAAGACAGCATTGTTGTCATGATCAGATGAAACGCCAAGACATTCATTCCGAGATGACGACCCGCTCACATGCCTATCTCCTACTTCCACTTGATTTCCGAAAAATTCATTGGATGTAGAACTTTGATGAAAGGTCGGAATAAATCGTCTCACCTGGGTGATATAAATCTTCACAACCCGAATGCGCACATCACCAGCAGTGGACTTGAGACTTCGGAAGACGCAGTTTTCAATGGAAAGAGTGGATACATGAGAAGTTCCCCCAGCAAGATCTACATGAGAAGTTCCCCCAGCAAGATCCAAGACAAAAACGTTCTTCACCAACCTGGAAGGAATCACAAACGGTCAGTGTGCGAAAAACACGGAAGGTCTCTTTTCTAATTGTTCAAGATCTCAGACATCCAAGGAAGGAGAACTTCAAGGAAAGCAGGTCTAGCTTCTCAGTGGAAAACCACGAATGTATCCGCTTATTTTCATCACAGAAAACACGTTTTTTAACAAGACAGTGAACGTACCTTCTTGTCTCAACTTGATGATCCCAAGAACGTTCAGACCATGGAAACCTTGTTGGCTGTTGCTTGGAAAACTACTGTCCTCGAACTTCCGACCAACAAACCACTTCGTATCTGTGTACAACAAGTCAACTCACATCATTCACGAAATCCAGACACTCGACGGTAAGCATGACAGATTAAATTCTCAGACATCTAAGGAAGGATAAACTTCATCGGAAGCAGGTCTCGCTTCTCAGTGGAAAACCACGAATGTAACAAAAAGATTTTCATCACAGAACAGATACATCAGGAAACCAACTATGCCCAACTTACCAATGACTGTGTTGGTTGGGTTCATGGTGACGTGCGTCATTGCTGATCAACCCAGTCAGTTGCCGAAAATAAGATGTAGTGGTTGATGATTTCAACCTTCCCACGTTGGAACATATAGTAACGGCCAGCGACCTCTAGGTCGCAACCCGTGACCTTCTCACTGGTCTTGGCGCGCTAGCATACTCGACCATTAACCCACGCCGGCCATGATAGCCAGGCCTAGCAGCAGGAGCTCCTCAGTCTGGAGTCAGCCGCGAACAAAGAAGGATCCCACCTTTGAAAACCCAAACCCATTTTCCGAATTGCACAGAGTGTTCTAAACACCAACAACTATCTTGTGAATCTATTGTGTTGAGATCGCCTACTTGTGTTGCAAATCGAATATAACCCGCCCTTGTACAATTCTCCCCAAGTGCGTGTGTCTTGTTCATTTACAACCTAGCGATCCTTTACTATATGATCTCCAGAATACATCAGAGGGTTATTCAAAAATCAAAACAAACAACCCAGGCCTTTATCCAAGAGACTATGGCAGATTCAAGATTCTAACCCTGTACACGCCAACAAGAAGCTGAAATGCAATCACAGTCAACACCAGGACTACGCCGTAACGCGAGGTTATGGTACAGCTTCCACTCAATGCAGCTCCATTCAGGGCTTCCTCTTCCACGCCACCCCTAGGGGCGCCAGTCTCACCCAGAGCCATCAGTTGGTTTCATTGAGTGACTTGAACTGCATTGCTTTGCCAGGGTAAAATTGAGAGAGACTCTCACAGACAAACAACAGTGCACATATAAAAACACATTCTTAAAATAAATACAATAAATTTTCTTGGGAAACACAAACAACAGTGTGAATGTAAAAAACACACTTTTAAAATAAATAAACAAAATTAAATATGGAAATAACATTGCGCAAATTATGTGAATAAAAATTTCAGATACTTTTTTCAAGTCTTGATATCAAATAATATTTTTTGCTACAAATAACATGACACCAAGAATAAGCAAAAACTGAATATCACCTCTGCCAGTGTCCTGAGCAGTCAGGAACATAAAAATTTCCAAATCTCTTGAAGTTGGGAATACAAATGCAATACAGTACTGTATTTATAAACAAGAATTTAACTCTTACTGGGGGCTCAGCCGACGACCAACAACGACCCACAAGATGAATAGTGACTGCACAGAAACCAAGCCCCAACCAGGGCCATCAAACGCTAACGCGTTGCTGCAGCTGGTGGCATCATCACAACCACGGGCAATAGCCAATCCATGGAATTTTCTTATGCTGAATGCGATCCGCATGTATGCAATAGCGAATGGCATCCCCAACACCAACAAAGTGCCAAGCGACAAGCTCGTCATCGCACTTCAGGCCAAAGGCGCGACGCCACTCAATGTGATCCTGAATTCACCACGGGACTACCACGCGGGACCGGGGTCCACGGATCTCTTAGCCAGATCTCTACAGCTCAGATGCGTGGATTACCCCCATCAATTGCCAAACAAGAGCATCGAGATGTACCTGCAATGTTTGGAAACCGCCTTCAAGCATGACAGCACGCCGAACTTCACGAAAATTGACTGCTTCATCGGGCACTCCCAACCAAAGGTGGCGGAAGCAACCCAGCTACTTTACGACCAAGGCTTTGAGGAGTATGAAGTAGTGGCGGAGAAACTGAAAGCCAGGTTCAGGCTATTGCCATTTGAACATTTTACCAGGTTTCAACAGCTCCGACCAGCAACCAATGAACTATACTCGCAGTTTGGAGTGCGTCTGCGGGATGAGTACCTCCGATACCTTGCCCTACCGACAAACAAGCTTGGGCAACACGAAACCGCAATCACACGGGCCCTCATTGGACAGTTCATGTCCATCACAACCAGCGGGCTACATGCCCAGATCCACGGACAGGCAACAGCCGACCAATCCCTCAAGTGGGACGAGTGCCTGATTGTGGCCGACAAGTACAGGCAAACACACCCGCCCACACCCAAACCAGCGGCGACACCAGCGCCGCAATCCCCAGCCTGTCAACCAACCAAAACAACAGAATCAGGGGTAACGAAGTACTACTGTGACAATCACCAAGGGTACGTCTTCCATAGCACCGCCAAGTGCAAAATGTCTTGAACAAGCTCACGCGCATCCACGCTGTCAACAATGGATAATGGATGACCGCTACAAAGCTGTTCTTACCATCCAGGGCGCATGGTTGCGCATTCAACCAAGGAATGCAGGAACAACCCGGCCAACCAGATGGATTGGATTACACCAACCCCCGCACAATCTATTCAGCCCACTAAATGCGTACAATGTGGCAATACAGGACATACCGCCGCTACATGTCTGGGAAATGGGAAGATCGGGCAGTGACGGCTGTCCTCTGCTCGATTCCCACGCCAACCAACGACAGCCTAACTATCATCATCACAATCAAAGACAAACGGGTGACCGCCCTGATTGACACTGGAGCGACCAAATCGTTGATGGCAACGGACATTGCAGAGGAAGTCGGCCTGTCCCCACACCCGACAAAAGTGAGGATTTCCGCAGTGGTGCTCCATGTCTCCATGAACGTCAATCACGCAGCGAGTACCGTTTTTACTCTTTGATTGGCCACGTACGAAGCCACCTTCTTGCTCCTTTCCAACGCGCACTATCCCATTATTCTTGGACTTGATACTCTCAAGAATCTTCTGTTCTGCATCACTCTCGAGGGCCAGCAAGTCTTTTCAGGGTTTCAACAAATCAAACTGATCAACGAAGCCCATAAAGCGCTGATAGGTGAGGGCATCACATTTGTCCATGGCACACTAAGGGAGCAACAGCAGATCACGGCTCTTCCACGGTGCTACGCCCCCCATATCTTCCAGTGGAGCGGCAAACATGGGCTTTTCCTGCAGCACGTCGCATCACTCCCCACCAACGGGGAGGATCCAGAACCAAGCTGCTGCATTAGGCTATTGCCGAATAAGCGGCCCGCATTCCAATACATCATCGACAACTACACCCGAGCGGGTTTCATTGAACCGGCCCAGTCAACAGTGAACTCACCGGCCTTCCTTATGCCAAAAGACGATGATCCTGATGCCCCCACAATCAAGCGATGGCACCTAGTGGAAAACTACCAGGAAATTAACAAGGTCTTGCGGGTGGACAACTATCCCATGCCAGTCATCCAGGACATACTCGATGCATTGGGGCAACAAAACGCCTACTTCTGCTGTCTAGATCTACACTTGGGATACCATCACATCCCCATCGCACATGGGGATCACCACAAAACCTCATTCTCCACTTACACAGGGCAGATGCAATACACGGTTCTGCTGTATGGTCTCAAAACAGGGCCTGCAATCTTCCAGCTAACCATGGAGACAATCCTCTGCCCACACCTATACACCAAATGCTTGGTCTATATTGACAACATCATCATCTTTGGCAACACCTTCAAAAACGTGCTTGACAACCTTGCACAGGTCCTTGATACGCTCGCGGCCACAGGAGCATCAATCAACATACTGAAATCAAAATTCCTGGCGAAATCCATCACCTTCCTTGGCCACATAGTCAACAAAATGGGCACCTGCCCTGCAGAAGAACATTTGAAAGCCATCCAAGCCTTCCCGCAGCCGGCAACCATGCGCCAAATGCAACTGTTCCTTGGGCTAGTCACCTACCTACAAGCGCTTGTGCCAACCAACTTTGCACAGCTCAAAAAAGTGCTGAGACTGATGATACCGGTAAAATCAGCCACCTCAATCGTATGGTCACCAGAATCCATCAATTCGTTCAAAGCTCTAAAAACAGCAATAGCAAACGCTGCTCAGCTCAAGCGCTTTGACCCAGCATGGGACACGGAGATTCACTGCGATGTGTCCTCATTGGCAATAGGGGCCATCCTCGTCCAAGTTGATCCAGACGGACAGCCCCACATTATGGAATATGCGAGCCGGGTCCTAACCCCCGCAGAAACATGCTACTCCAACACGCAGTGAGAGCTGCTCACCGCAGTCTGGGCAACAACAAAGAAGTTCAGACACTACGTGGAACACTGCCACTTCAAACTGATCACCGATCACAAGGCCCTACTCGGCGAACTGTCTGATGCGCGCCTCATCAGCCTCAAGCTGAAACTCAAATCCTTTGACTACACCCTGGTACACAGACCAGGCAAAACACTCACAGGGCCAGACGCCCTTAGCTGCATCAGGCTCAACACCATCCAACTTCGAGAGGTACCAGACGAAACTGAACGCCAAAAGATGATTGATGAATACCATATCAAGATGGGGCATCCCAGTTGGAAACAAACGTTCCACCAGCTACGACAACGCTACACATGGCCAGAGATGCAAGCGCAAATCTTTAACAGGATGGCCAAATGCGAGAAATGCTTCACATTCAACCTGGCAACAGCCACCGTGGGAACCCACCTGGAAGCCATTCCCTCAACCAAAAAACACGACCAACTGGGGGTAGATTTCTGGGGGCCATTCCCGCCATCACAAGCAGGGAACTGATATGCCCTGGTGGCAGTGGATTATTATACCAAAAGAGCCGTAGCACAACCAGTGAAACATGCCACAGCCAACGCACTCTGCAGCTTCATCGCAGACGTCTTTGCGCAGCTTGGATCCTTCGAGATCATACATTCCGACGGAGCAGCGGTCTTCTCATCCGCGGCATTCAAATGGTTTACCAAGGCAAACCACATGGAAGTGCACATTGCACAACCATACCACCCGGAGGGGAACAGCGCATGCAAACAGACAATCAAGTCCCTCACCACCATCCTTGCCAAAATGGCAACCAGCGCTACCACTTGGGACCAAGTCCTGTATGGAGCAACAATGGCGTACAACCGCATGCCACACTCAACAATGGGGCTATCCCTGCTGGAGTTATGGGACAAAAAGCCAATGCCGACACCGGCTGACATCAAATTCAAAGCCCCACCAAGGGACATTTCCACCCAACTACAGGCCGCACAACAGATGGCCCAACGCTGTTGCGACCAGTACACACGGCAGG